CTGTTACCTTCCCACCGAGGTGGTCCCTATTGATCTACTTGCATTTGCATGCTTTCGAACCACTAGGTTGGCGGGAGCTGGGACAAGCGACGGGAGCTCACTCAGTCACGTGGATTTGATCTTACGACTGCTGGTCTTCTGACCCTGCAGCACAGGCTTCTGCGGTTTAGCCCACAGCGCCACCACGTCCCTCTAGAGGGCAATCAATAGCAAAGGATTACAGTGGGGTCTTGACTTGAGAACTTAATCCGTATTGGAAGGCGGTTCTCAAGTCAAAAAGTTCTCAAGTCAAATCTGCATTTCGCATAGGAATGCATTGAAAACCGTTTGATCCGTATCTGCTCTTTTCCGTCCATAGAAACTAATGGGAAGCTGCTATTCCGCCTTCGACCACTAGAGGGGGATATTTTGTTTCTTTTTTTCTTAGGTCAAGAAAGGTTCAGGAAAGGCAGGAAAAATACAGTCCAGGCAGTCCAGTACCAGGCAGTCCGAAGACTGTCTCCCAATCCACTCTCTAAACGCTGGGAGGAGTGAGGAAGCAGACAGGCACCCTTTTCACTGGCCAACAGTTAACTGAAAGTTCAAATTTTGCACTTTCCGTGCCTCCCACTTGGGTTTTTCTCAGTTCTTAACTCAAATCTAAGTATGTAAGTCAAGTCAATATTTTCCTATGAGAGTGGTTCTTAAGTCAAAATGTTCTTAACTCAAGCCGTTCTTAAGTCAAGACCCCACTGTATAGGAACTGTAGTCCAAAAATATCTAGAAAGCCAGAGTTGATTGCCCCTCAGATTATGAATTGGCTGGAGAGTTGGGTGAGCTGCGGCACCTCGCTGAAGAGCCAGGGTCAGGGGATTCAACTCCCACTGAGCTTTGGATGAGAAGACCCAGCCTGTAGCTCGAGTGAATTTGGTACCTGGCTGTGGAAGCATACATTGTGAATATGACTCCCCACTATGCATATCAGGAGGACAGGCAACCTATGTAGCCCTGGGCAAGCTGGACAGTCCCAGGATATCCCTAGAAGAAGAGACTGGCAAGCTACTTTGAGTACTCTGTCCATGGGACACCCTGGAATGGGTTGCTATAAGTTGGAATTGATTTGACAGCACATGATGATGGGAATAATAGACTATGCAAACTAAATCTGTTTCATATTTCTAAATACAGAAATCCCTTTGAAATAAATGGAGATAACTCATAGAAAGCTTTATTTATATCATGTCACCCACACCTGTGCATGCATATTCAGATAAAACTCCCATTTTATTCAGTGGGTCTTCTTATTCCCATGCAAATACACAGCCACATAGTTTAGTTTTTCTGATGTTTCTGTTTTCTCTGCCTTTAAGTGATCACATACCACGAGAAATCCTTTACCACAGCAGAAGCTTAGGTAGTAATTTAAAGTTTTTAGAAAAAAAACTGAAAGTGGAGATACTTCTGATTTCAGCGGTGAGGGATTCAAATACCATGTAAAATGGAAAGATACACAATAAGGTTAGAGGGCCTGGTGGTTGTCTGCCCATTTTGGAACAACCATGTAATCCTGAACTAGGCTTTCTTGAAATGGAAATGTTACTTCTTCTATCTAGCCCCATCAATTTCCAGAATATAATGAAAAGCAGCAGATTATCTTCAGGCAAGGCTTTCATCTTCCAATAGCCCTGCTTCGTTTGTGGACAAGACGGTATCCAGATGGTATTGCAATCCATTTCTAACTTTCCTAGGTTTTACTAATTTTTCTTCCACATCTTTCATGTGGCACAAAACCTGTTGAGGAAGAAAAGATACAATCACTGTTTTAGCAGCTGCTGATCATGTGAGGAACCATCTGCCCAGACTCTTATAGGATTTTTAAGGCCCTATTTTTACACCACCAATGCCAGGCAAATTTTGTGGGACCAGAAAACTAAACAAGAAGAAACAACCACCCATCCCAAAACCAATCATAAAACAAAGCAAGGTAATTTGCATTTGCCAAGTAGGTGAGAGAAACTGCTGTTAGGACACACACAGTCTTCAAGAATTTTCATCTAATATTCAGCTAATTATAAAGTCTACTTCTGCCTTTATACACTTACTTGAAAGTAAGTTCCACTGAAGTCAGGGTGCAACCACACTGACCCTTTTTGATGTGGGCTGGCCTCAGTAGGGTTGTGGGAAGTCAGGGTGCAACCACACTGACCCTTTCTGATGTGGGCTGGAGTGGCTTCAGTAGGGTTGTGGGGAGGGGAGGAAAGATATGCCATCTTGTGTGATCTTCCTATTCAGATTACATATTGGTCTCAAGCAACCCTATTTCTGGTACTGTATAGTGAAGCAGCTAACCCTATTTCTGGTATAATGAAGCAGCTAAAGGGATGTGGTGGTGCTGTGGGTTAAACCGCAGAAGCCTCTGTGCTGCAAGGTCAGAAGACCAGCAGTCGTAAGATCAAATTCACGTGATGGAGTGAGCTCCCATCCCTTGTCCCAGCTCCTATCAACATAGCAGTTTCAAAGCATGTAAATGTGAGTAGATAAATAGGTAACGGCATTCCATATCTAGTCGCACTGGCCATATGACAATGGAAACACCCGCTAGAGTCAGGTACGACTGGATTAAATGTCAAGGGGAACCTTTACCTTTACCAAGAAGTGGCTAAACGAGCCACTTCTGGATATCAACAAATTGAAAATATTATCATTTGCCTCTGCCAGACCATGACTGGTGCACTGAATCACTTAATATTAAATTTTTTAAAAATATTTTACTTTGTTGTGTGCTGATCAAGAATTTTCCTGCAGCTGTGGTGTTGATTGGCACTTCACACAAATGCAAAGGAAAAATATCGTTAATTTAATCTAAGTGATTCAGCACATCAGTTAGCAGAGGCAAAATAATAATAAGTTCACTTCCTCTGTTCCTCCAGAGAAGCAGGGGAAGTGTTCAATTTGCTGATATCCTGAAGTGGCTCATTTATTAAGCCACTTCACAATACCAGAAATTGATACTGGACGGCACCTAGGCAGCTTTGACAGCTGCAAGATTCAATTTTAGTCCATTCTCAGCTACCACACGTGCTGGAAATGGAGCACACTAGAACGCACCAACCTGCACCAAAAAAGAATTCCCTGATGGGCTCAAAAAGGTGTGGGTAGCAGCACTCTGGGGGCAGATTTGATAAGACAATAAACGCCAATGTCTCCCTGCCCTTTTTGGGGAAGGGCACCATATTCGACTCCTCCATTTTCTCTGTGGGGGCTCTGGCTGTCTCTGGGCGGTAGATGGTGCTCTTTGCCCCAGGTACCAATATTTCTAGTCACCGCCCTGCAAATCTTGCTTACCCATAAGGCATGTTCAATTGAATCCAATATAACATGGTGCGCAGTGAGCACCCCTTCAAGTGTTTGCCACACCCACAACTCCCCACCTTCCCCAGACCTGGCTAAGGCTGATGGGAGATGCACTCCAACAATACTCAGAAGGCCACAGTTTTCCCATCCTTTTAAAAAAAATGCTGCACAGAGAAGAAATTGAGGAACAATTGTATTTGTTTTGCCACCATCTGTTGTTCTTTGATTTTTTCCTTCTTTTTTAAGACAGAAAGAGAGATTATTTATTTTATATTTAGAGACTGGGTTTTCCTTGTACGATGTTTTATTAGATTATTATTGCAGTTTTGTTATAGGTTTATGTTATGGTATTGAAAGACATCTACCACTAGATAGTTGGGATAAAAATTTGAATGAATGAATGAATGAGAAAGAAAGTACAGTACATCATTCACCAGGTGCATCTATTACTATTATAATTAATAATGCTTCAGTGCCTGCTAGAATCCTCCTTTCCAGGAGCGTCTACTCTCCACCCCGCCTTCTTCTTGGCTTAGAAGAAAGTTCTATCTGTTTCAACGGGGCTTACTTTAGAGCAAGCGAAGTCTTAAAAGGACAGGACTCTACAGTCCTCCTAACCTAAAGGAAATCAGCCACAGCCTAAACAAGCTCCCACCGGTCAAGAGAACACCCTTTCTCCCCCCCCCCACCCAGTCGCTCTTTGCCCTCCGTGCAAGGAAGCAACGATACTCTATTCCATTTTCTTAAAATCCTTCCAGAGTTTAAATTCCTTAATTTTACAGAGACGTTGATCTTATGGTCACAGATCGTGGTTTACAAATGCGAGACGGAGGGCGAAGGGCATTGACAACGAGTGACATCAATACAACAAGAGCCGTGTGAACCCCAAGGTTTCTCGGCCTTTGGTTAACACCGAGGCAACCTTGAGGCATCGTCGTCCTCCTCACGTCCCTCCCTGCCGGGTTACCCCACGGCGCGGCCGGGCAGCCGGACTCGTCTTCCCTCCTCGCCTG